CCTGTCGGCGCCGACAGGTTGGTCATAAGAGGGTTCTGCTGATATCACTATGGCAACAGCTGCAGCAGTGCAGAACATGCAAGCTGATAATGGCAGGCGGATCTGCATGTTTCATCTCGTTTGACCTGTTGTGTGTTTGGACGGTTTGTGTTTGGTTTGTGAAAGTGCAAAAATGGTTCATGTTATTTTTCTGTAACATTTGAAGCCTTTACCCAAATCCTTGACATAGTCTTCCTTTTCCTCAGCTGGTGATAACAGCTCTGATACAGAGAGCGCACCTTCGCCCTCTCAGCCCGACTCCTCAAAACCGGTCGACTCAAAGAGACCTGAGAGCACGGCGGGCGAAGCTCTGGGCACAGACCAGGACAAAAGTCAAGCCAGCAATGGAAAGCCCGCAGAGCCTTCATACGGGGAGCTTCGCGTCAAGGAAGAGAAGAGCCCAGAGAGCGAGAGCGGATCCCAGGAAGAAAAAGTCAAGCTTTCTTCCTTCCCTGGCCCCGTGCATCCCAAAACCGAACCTCAGGACGTGGACATGAAGACCGGTGAGGTTCAAGTCAAGGTGGAGCCCGAGATCAAGGAGAAGGGCGAGAAGGGAGAGCCGGGCGATCGGCAGAGGGAGCTCCACTCGGACAATGACTCGAGCGCTACCTGCAGTGCTGACGAAGATGTGGAGTCCGAGCCTGATCGGCAGAGGTGAGCCTCTGAAAACATCTTTATACTTGCAACATAGCTGCTCTGCAACACAATTGCCTATTTTATTTGGCTATCTCTGCAGAATATACTCCATGGAAAAACCGTCGTTGCTCAGCCCTCCGGGATCGGTGCTCATGCCCTCGCCCAAGCAAGCCCAGCTCAACATCCAGCAGCTGCAGCACAGGGCAGCTGCCATCCCTCCTATGGTTAGTTTCAGCTTGATTTATTTACACTGGCAAAGATGAAGGCAGCTGTAACGCAGGGGAAACTTCACTTCTGTCAACTCTCTCATTTTTGAACTAGATGTAGCCAGTCCTCAGCGAACCAGGTGGTCCAAATCAGCTGTTTGAGATGAAGAAATGGTTTATTGAGCCTTTTGTTTAAAAAGTTAACATAAATGAAATTAAGGCTTTAATATTTCTTACATTCACTAGAGGACATGTAAGTTGGCCTTAAATATGTTAGTCTTACATTTTGTCATGGCAGTAGTTAAGATTTTTCTATTTTCTAAATGTGAGTTGATGTCTTCAGTCACTGCACTCTGACTCAAGGCGGTTGAGGTCGACCAGTAAGAAGCTGCTAATGTTTGCTAGCTAGCTAGTTTGCTTGTTATCTCCTTGCCATCTAGCAAACAAACAAGCCATTAGCAGCTAGAGTATGGCTCTCTTGTTAGCTACTTAGCTAAAGACATGGCCTTATGCCATTTTTATTATCTGAGAAGCTCAAAGCTGCTGCTTTCACAGTTTTGGCCCTCTGGATTTCCTTTGTACATCACTGTTGTGATAGAAGTCTTAAATTTTATTCACGATAGTCTTTAAAAGTGTCAAATTTCAGTTGGTGAAACACGCATACACTTTCAATTACTTAAGGCGTCTGTGTCTATTTTTTTCTTCTGTGTTGTGTCCTGAATCGATTTCTCCCGCTGCATTAATCCAGGTGCCTGGTTCTTACGGTCCCGGCGGCATTCCCATCAGCGGTTTAACCATGCTGCAGCACCAGATCAAAGCAGCGCATGATTCGGCTCACCAGGAAGAGAAGCAGCGGCAGGATCAGGGCGACCTGGAGCGCAGGCCCCACTTCAACACCCGCAGCCCTTCTGTGCTGGACAGAGACGGTACGAGAAGAGCTCAGTCTTTAGTTGCTGTGCACCTGTTGTGTTGTTGAAGGCCAGATCGTTGTTGTGGAGTCTCCTAGGAGACAAACAGGGTTTCTGTGCAGTCTGGAAAACGCTTTTTTTTTTTTTTTTTTTTTTCCTTGGTCTGGATTGGTGTCAAAAAACAAAACATGGAAAATTATTCTTGACTCCATCTATATGTTTATGTCCTGTTCATATTCTTCCAATGATCTGTTCTTTCATCTATCGTTTTAATAGTTTGCCCTTACATTCATTCGTCCACCTTCTGTCAGTCATTGTCCCATCGTCTCTCCATGTTCGGACTTATTCCATCAGTCATCTCTCACCCTTTTTATCCATCCATCCGTCCATCTCTTTCTTTCCACCATTTGCAGATCTTGTATTTAAAGCCTGATTTCTGTAGAAATAGTTTTTTGTAAATTAATAGTAATCCACTTTTTTTAATGTTGTTAACTGAGTCGGCTTAATCATGGACGTTTGCCGTGAAAATCTGTTGGAACCCCAGAGGGGGCAGCAGGTTCTGCCGCCATGCATGTCAGCAGACAGAATTTAGCAGGTCCTGTTTACAGCATGATTAAACCGATCCAAAGTCTGCGGTGGTGGCGATCCTCCTGATGTGACTCCGGTCGGGAGCCGGAAGGCTTTGTTCTCCCGGGTGGTCAGACGTGGTTTAGACACGGAGTGCGAGAGAGCCGTGACATCATGTGCTTGACTCTGGAAAGCTTTTAGCACCCCGAAGCCAAAGTGCTGCGAGGAGCAGAGCAGTCGGCGAGCCGCCGAGCTTTGACAGCTACACGGCACAGTCGTTTTAGCAGGTGTGTGTCCAGGTGGGAGAGCGGGGTTATTTACACAGGTCCATCCATTCTGGGTCAGCATTATGGCCATTAGTCTCTCTAATGAGAGACTCTCCCCTGTGGGGCTGAGTGAGGCTTTACCTCAGCCTGACCCCCATGTCCCCATTTCCTCCTCTTTTTGAGAGCTTCCAAGTAAAAGAATCGCACGTCTTCACCTTATTTTCCTGGTCGATTCTCTTTCTGTCTGTCTGGCTGCTGCTTTGTCTTTTTCATTTCTGCTACAAGGTGTTTGAGGCCTTTAGATTCCACTTTCTCTAAACTTATTTAATCTGCTGTTTGGGACTCCAGCTAACAGTTATTTTAGAAATAGATTATTCTCTCAATTATTCTGATAATTAATTTGATTCTAAAGGTTTTTTAGGCCTTTTTTTTTTACACAGTATTAGAAATGAATTTAAAGATTCGAATAAACAATCCAGTTTCTTTTTTAAATAAGAAAATTATATTCTGTAAACTTTTAGTCCCTCCCTTTGTTTAGTCCCCTTTTGTTTTTTTAATAAGAGGAGCTCGTATCATGTTTTTGTATCCTTGAATACAACGCATTAAAAATTTGGGTAACACTTTATTTGAAGGGGGTTGAATAAGACTGACATGACACTGTCATAAACATGACATAACACATGTCACGAACATGAATAAGCCTTCATGAATATTTATGACTGTTGTTATAAAGCGTCATTCGGTAAATTATGACACTTTTAATACAAAGTTGACATTATTCAAAATGTCTTTATGACAACTTGACATTAACCAGGAAATCATTACTGATATAAATTTGTTATAAAAGTATTACTGATTTCACTTTAAAAATTAGGTAACTTTATGTTATTAAGGGTAAAGCTTAAACAGTAATGATTTCTTGGTTTACCAAAATTTGTTAGCAGGTTTCATTAAAATATTGCGTATTTAATTAGTTTTTACTGTAGAATTGTTTTAGCATTTTTTTCATAGCAAATGAGAAAACTTGACAGTTGTGGCCACCATTGGCAGAAGTCTGAACTCCTGTTCTCTAAACAAGTCTTCTTGAATTTCCTCTATTTAATAAACTCTATGCAAGATGCATTTGAACTTCGTTTAACTGGGAACATGAGCATATTTACCATCTCTGGCAGCGATAATGGCTCTCATTCATTCTGTAGGGTTTTGTATGTAGTCTTTGCTTATGTTTCACTTTAAGATGAATAGTTAAATCATCCTTCTGGCAGCACTGGTCACCTCTGTGACCCAAATGGCGTGTGAAGGTTATTCTTTCATTGCTGCATGAATATGTGTGATTTAACTCTATGAAATCTGCACAGTGTAAAGCAAGAGCTGCTTTAGTTGCACTAGCACCAGAAGAGTCCGACTTGCTAGCAGGAAAATAAAGTTTTGTTGATTGAAATTAAACTTATTAGAGCTTCGCCAATCTGAAGTTTGCGCCAGTTACCAAACAGCTCTGGCATGAACTGGTAACGTTGGGTTTCCCCAGCCAGAATCTGGTGGAGAATCCCGTTAAATATTAAGGTGATGGTATGGAGGTTTTCCAAACTCACTTTTGTGTTCATCTGCAAAGAGGGAAACATGCATAAAGCTGGTCAGCAAAGATGAGAAGCGTTTCGTCACTGCAGTGCCAACAAAGGCTTTTCATAACTGACCAGGGCTGAAACTGTTAATCGGATTAATTGTGATTAATCAATTATTGAAATAATGGCCAACTGGTTTAGACTCAAAGCTCATTTGCTGAAAGAGCAACACATTCAGAGAAGTAATTAGGCCAAAACTTTGTGTTCCTTGTTCAAAGTTTTAGCTTCACCTGGTTGAAATTCTACAGTTATTAAACGATTTGCCCAAAAATTAATCAACAGATTAACTCTACACTTTATTGATACTAACTCGGCAGAAAGAGCTGAGCGTTTCTCATTAGACACTAGAAGTAAGTTTTTAGCTGGAGAAGCATCTTTTGCCGCAATTGATTAACAGTCTGCTAAAATCTATTACTAAAATAATCATTAGTTGCCATCTTATTCTAGCTTTGATAAAATAAAAAAACTGCTGTTTTTTATATTTATACATACATATATATATATATATTTTTTTTAGTTTTTTTCTTAATGATCCTGTCAGTCTTCCACCTTTCCTGTGGGATCTCCAATCAGAAATAACTTCTTGCATAGGCCTTAAGTCTTTGACTCATGAAGTGGGATCAGAATAAATCCAGTGTGATTTAGGCTTTTCTACGTCAATATCCCGAATTCTCTCGGTTTTTGCTTCTGTTTGCCATGATGTTCCCTCTGCAGCCGCTGACAGCCTGTTCGCTTCGAACCGTCTCCCCGGAGCAGGGCTTTATAAATATGTTATAGAGGGACTTGTTTTCTCGTCCGTCCCCCTTTTGAGCCGACAGGATTATGATGTCTGTGACTGTCGGAGGAACTCTTCCAGCCATTTGCATTTTTTATTTTGGAGAGAGCAGAACACGAGGTGCTCTCCCCTGCAGCGAGGCCGCTCGGTCTGCGCCGCTGTGGATCTGTGGTTTGTTATGAACTATTCTGTCTGCTCCGCTTTACCAGGGTACATTAAAGGAGACAGGGAGCATCTAAATGTTTGAACCTGTGGACTTTGAGGGGAAATGAGGGCTTTTGGAGCTAAGATGCTGAGAAAGATTTATAGAATTTCCTTTGTAGGATGGACAAGTATGAAGTTTGATTTATTCATCTGGTTTTTCTTTTACCAGTCTGTCAATCTGATTAACCTTTTATCTGTTTTCCCTTCCATCCGTTAATCGTTCTGTTCGTTTTTGTCCATCTACTGTAGAAACTTTTGTGTATTTTTCAAAACGAGTAAAAACAACTCTTTAATATTAAGTCTCGAAGAGTACGGAATATTGCAACGAGAAATGTTTACAAACCAGAACTGGGTGATTAATCGATTAATAATTTTTTTTGTTTTGAAGTTTTAATTTTTGGAAAATCTGGATTTTTTTTCACCATTGGACTCTTTGGGTTTCCATAGTTAAGTGACGTCAGCGCGCCATCTTGGTGGCCATCTTGTTTGACAAACCCGCTTTAGAGTTTCTGTTTATGTGGAATTTGAATTCAGATCAACTCTACGACGAAATATAAGGGTCAATATTTTTTTCTTTTTTAATTACGAGATTAGTTGTAACATTTAATTTTCCTTTAGGATCGATTAAAGTATTTTTCAATTTGAATTGAATTTGAATAAAATTACAAGAATACAGAACAACAACAAAAATTTAACCAAGCTTTTTTCTCGTTAAATCGACTTTTTTCTTGTAATGTTAAGACGTTCCTCTGGTAAAATTGCATTTTTGTTTTTCAAATATTTTGACTATGTTCTCGTAATTAAACAAAAATTCTCATAGCATCGCCTTAACTCGCATAACAGACAACTGGAATAAAAGCCACCTTTTGAAAATGTTTTCTGTCATCGGTAAACTAATTTCTAGGAAAGAAAGTGAGAAAAACGAAGCGATTAAAATCAAACCTGGTATGAAAAAAGACTTAATTTTTATGCAGCATCGCCCAGCCCTGTGACGAACACCATAAAAAAAATCTTTAATTTGTCGTTAATCAGAGTTTGTATTCTTCTGTGCCGTTTCCCTTCCAGTCCTCCATCCCAACCCCTCCCAGCTGGTCCAGAGCATGAACGACGGAGTTCGTCTGCCGTTCAACAGACACAGTCGACCTCCCAACATTCCTTCTCCTCCTCCGCTCATTCCAACCAACAAGCCCACAGACAAGCCCTCCTTCATCCAGGGCGGCTCCATCTCCCAGGTAAGACACCCGGGTCTCTCTCCATGTCACTGAAATTCTCCGTCTTCGTGTTCAAATCTAATTCTCTAACAGGCTTCACGTGGACGGTTCAGTTTAAACTGGAAGATCTGGGTTTGTTTACCTCAGCGCGACCCACTCGTCCCTTTCAAATCCAATTTTACTTGCACATTTGTTCTGCTTGTGATTAGAGCCGTAATCGATGCTGCGCTAATACAATATTCTGGTTGTATTAGCGTCCTCGGTTGTTTTCTCACCATGTGAGGTGGTCGACACCGTAACGTAAGCAGTGCATCAGGAGCTAAAAGATGATCGGTGTCACTTGACACCACTTTATTATTCTGTTGGCCGCAGTGACCTGAACATGAGATGAACTGTTTGTCCCGTTTCTTATCCAGGGAACTCCTGGCACTTATTTGCCCTCTCATGCCATCTACGGGCCGGAGGGGACGAAGAGCTCCGGGGGCTCCATCTCTCTGGGGCTGCCACGGCAGATGGACCCCAACAAGCCCGGTAGGTCCAACGTTTGGCACATGGCTACACAAACATACCAAAAAACACAAGACCATCTCTTCAAACTAACATCAGACTCGGATGAGATTATGTTTTAGTAATTAATCGTGATAAATAGTTGACTGACATAATTGTCGATCAATTTGATGATCGATTAATCGTTGACTCGACTATATAGACTAAACAAAAATAGACTTTTTACTGAAAGGCAGCTTACTTACAGCATTAATTAATCTACAATGTACAAAACTTACACATTTTTTATCAGATAAATTTAAATAGCTTAAAACAATCAAGTGAGGAAACTTTGAATTGAGGTTGAACTGGATCTGTGATTTATTTTTTATTTATTTTGCAGTTAGTGAATCTGGTTCAAATGGCAACCAGATTCCATTTGATCCAACTGACTTGGATCAAATCGATCCAAATTAGTCAAGACGACAAAAACAAACGGGTCCCTTAAATCGCACTTCAGAAATCAGATGCCAAATTTAGCATTAGCCAGTTTCATGATTCTGTAGACGGTAAAACCCGGCTGACGTTCGAGCAGATTTATATTTTCTTCCCAGATCTTTCCCAGTTTTAAAAAGTACGACAGAAACAAACAAAAATAGGGACATAGGAATTCATATGTATTCATATGCTGGAAATGCTCTTATGAAAGTTTCGGTACTTGTTCTGCGCCTGTCGTCATATAACTTGATGTATTTCCACTTGAACTCTTCTTCTGTCCCGCCCGGCAGGAGCTGTGGTTTCCTCCATCCAGGACGGCAGAGGCAACCCGGCAAAGGTTGGTGAAGGCCTGGCTTTCAGAGGATCCATCACTCAGGCAATGAATTATTAAACAAATAATTTACGCTTTATTGGTTCCCTTGTGTGTGTTGGTATCCACTGAAGTAACATTGTTTTGCTGTCAACGACACAGGGCACTCCAGCTCTGTCCCAGCCTAGCATAGCTGCTGACCTCCTGAAGGGCACAATCACAAAGCTGGCCACGGAGGACCTGGGCAGCCCAGATAAAGCCAGGGGGGAGCAGCTGGCTAAAGTCATTTATGAAGGCAAAAGTGGCCACATCCTCTCCTATGATGGTATGGAGATTTATTACTGTTGAAGTGCCTAATAGGTGTTTTTTTTTTTTTTTGCCATTCTTTAAAGCTGGATTTCTTTGTTTCCATTAGGTATAAAGAATCCCAGGGAAAACACCAGAAGCCCCAGAACAGGTCATGACCTGAAACGCACCCACGACATGATGGAGGGTCCCATGGGAAGAGCGCACCATGGCAGGGAGGGCGCTCCGTTTGAGGGTACTCTTCGTGTGTCACCGGCTTTACCACTGCACTTTGGAAAAACACAGTTTGTCGTATTTTATTGGGATTTTATGTGACAGACAAACACAAGGTAGCACATAATGGCAACTTGAAAGAAAAATTATGAATGTCTTTATTTATTTTTTTTTAATTGCAAATGAAATTCTATAAATTGTGGCTTTCAGACCCCTTTAATCTGTCACCCAATGATCTGCACAGATCCACCGCTCAGGGGAAACATGTCCGAAATCTCTCCAGGGCAGACCTTTCCCAAATCCAGATTATGTATAAAGCAATTTGTAAAGAAAACAAACAAAACAAAGTGAGTAAGAGTAAGAGAGTAAGCTTGCCCAAAGTGCTGCACAAAAATAACACAAATAAAGGCAAAAGTGGTCACATAAAACAGATATTTTAGTTCTCATAAACTAGAAAAGAAACGATGTCAAATCAAACTGGACCAAATGCTGGACAGGAAAGCTTCCACTTGTGTGATGCACTACGTTGTGCTAGTACAGGAAGTAAAATCCCAGTAAAATAAACTGAGGCTCATGGCTGTAATGTAACATAAAGTGTAAGGAGCATTAATAGTGTGTAGTTTGTATTTTCTGTTTCATGAGTGATATTTTCTTTCATTCCAGGTCTGATCAGCCGGGCTTTACCTAGAGAAGGGCATCATGGCGACTCCAAGGAAAGAGCGCTGATCCCTGGATCCATTATGCAAGGTGGATGCCTGGGAAGCTTTCCACACTTGTAGTTTGCTGTGTCAAAAACAAAGCAAGGCCGGAGTAATTTTTATTTATTTATCTATTTTTTATTATTATTTTTTTTATTAGGGACACCGAGAACTACCGCTGACGCGTATGAGGACACGGTGAAATACGGGAAGCTGATAAAAACAGAAAGCCCGCCTATCCGAACATTCGAAGAGGCCATCGGCAAAGGCAAGCCCTACGAAGGAGTGAACACCATCAAAGAGAGGGGGCGCTCCATTCACGAAATCCCCAGACAGGACCAACCTGGACAGGACATGTGCAAGACTCCTGACCTGCCTGACAGGAGGGTGATAGAGGGCTCCATGCCTCAGGTTTGGGCACAACAATAACCCTTTATTGATCAGTTGCCTCCAGAGGGGCCATTTGCAGCCCTAAGACAGATTGTTTTTAACCCCTGACTGCAATTCAAGAATAATACAAGACTTTTTATTTTTAATTAAGGCAAAATTATCACAAATTAAAATCTTACAATAGAAAATATTGGCTACGACACAAAGTATTATATTTATATCTACATTTTAGGCTCATTCTGTAGGATTTTTATGCTCCTTTTGTGGAGATTTTTGTATTTATTCTGTAAATTTAACACTTCAAGACTCCATAGTTTATATTTTTATATATCTCTGCATAACCAGGATTATTGCTTTCTTACTTTTATTCAAAAGTAAACGCTTCTGCAGCCAAATCTGCATCTCATTCATTTGCTAAAATTGTCTGAATGCTGGAAGCATTTTCAAAGAAATACTGACCTAAATGCTATTTTTGGAGCTCAGAATTGACCAAATCTTTTATTTTGTTCAGTCAAGACATTAAAAATTTGGAAAAACTGGATGACTTTCTCTATGGTGAGGCAAGCCTGCAAAACCTTCTTTCACTTTTGGAATTACAATAATTTACACATTTCCCTTTTCAACAAAAAATCAATTTATTTTTATCAAATCAAAGTTCTGCAGCTTAACATATTGTTGAGAAGAAAAAACTATTTTTTTGCCCTGCAAGTCTTTTTAACTTGTCAATCTTGACCCAAAGGTTTGGACACCCCTGTTTAAGAAAAACTGTTTGAGTTATAGCTGAAACAATTAATCAGATGAATTGTTTCAGCTATTAATCTGATTAATATTAATAGCTGAAACAATTCAGCTAATAATTGTTTAATAGCTGAATTAAACAGCTATTTTAGCTATAAAAATCAACAATCAACAATTGATTGTTGATATTTCAACAATCAATTGATTGTTGAAATATCAACTAGTTTAGTAATTGGTTAATTGTTAACTATAGTGTATAGATTCAAAAAAACATCCATTGCAGACCAAGAACAACATATTCAGAGTACCAGTTACCCAAAACTGTACAAAATGCATTTAGCATTTAAGAGAAAAACAATTTTATCCGTAAATATGTTTTAGCCAAAACTCCTCATTGGCCTAATTTTAGCTTCACCTGGTTCAAATTTGCTGAAGGAGTCCTCCGTCATTGCATGTCAGGCAATAAAATGTTTATTTTCCTGTTTAAAAAGGGAGTTGAATTATTTGTTTATTTGCATCGTTTAATGTATTTCTAATATTGCATAGAAAAGCTTGTAGTGATTAAATGAAATCTCTGTAGAATGTGCCATTTTCTTTTTATCAATTTAATTGATTACTAAAATAATCATTAGTCACAGCCCTGAATTGAATTAAACTACTGAACTATTCATCGCTTCATACAAATAGAGATACTTTCTCCTCTCTGCAACAGAGTTACTCCCTGGGCCAGCCGACCATCAAACACAACGTCAAGTCCCTCATCACCAGCCCCAGCAAGCTTCCCCACAGCATGCCGCAGCTGGAGGCCATGGAGCGACCCAAGTACGAGGAGGGCAAGGCGGTGCGGCACTCTGTGGTCAACAGCACGGCCTCCGTCCTGCGCTCCACGCACCAGGAGGCCGGGAAGTCCCAGCACAGCCCCAGCATGTACGAAGACGCCAGCGCTCGCAGGACGCCCGTCAACTACAGCACCAATCCCGTCTCCAGAGGATCCCCCATGCTGGGACGGGGGTCAGAGGGTACGTCCCATAAGCGCTTTAGGGGCAAAGGATTTTGTTGGCTCATGCTTTGGGGATTTACTAGGGGTGGGAATCGTTTACTGTTTCACAAGTTTTGGAGCCACGATTCGATTCAAAATTGATTTTTGAGTCAAAAAGTAATGATTTCTGCTTTAATCAGTCGGTATGTGAGGGATCCTCGTATTCTGCTCCAGTCTGAGTAGGTAGGATAACGAGTGGAGACATTAAAGTGTCACATTTATTAATTATTAATCCAAGTTTAGATGGAATTACTCCCTCCCTGCATCCTCTGTTTTGCTTTTGCGAAGCGTCACAGAGAGAGCGCCAGGCCTTTATATATTGACAGTCTTTTACATGGAAAACAATGTTACAGTTTCCATCCTGAGGGTTTTAGCCATTTGACAGTCTTTGTAGTCATTTAGTGAGGAATCCTGAAAAATGGACATAATCCCTCACTATGTTGGATAAACGTGTCGGATTAACATTCTGTGTTCGTCTGCTGCGGATATTTGATGCTCTTTTTAATTTTGATTTAATGTTTTCTCTGACATGATGAAATCAGCTCATTGTGGGTCATTTGTTTGTCTTTAAGGGGGCATGAGTTCTGCCAAATCCGCTGCACATGACAGGAAGAGTGCCATGACCCCGACGCAGAGGGACAGCATCCCATCCAAGTCGCCTGTGTCGGTGGGCGACCCCGTGGCCTCCCACAGCCCGTTCGACCCCCACCACCGGCCTTTGGTTCCCGGAGAGGTGTATCAGACCCACCTGCCCCCACACCTGGACCCCACCCTGGCCTTCCGCCACAGAGGCCTCGATCCTGGTACGGTGTTTTTAAAACGTTCTCACTTTTTTTTTTTTTCTACTTCAGCTATAAATAGGTGACGAAAGCAGATCAGGTTGCCTAATTCCTAGGCATCCGGTCGACAGGATCTCTTTCAGTGATTGACGTCAGCAACAGCGATGAGTCTCAGTGAGCCGTCTGTTCATATTCATTCATCTGTTTTTTTTTGTTTTTTTTGTTCTTTGTGTCCTATAGCGTTCATGTTTCCCCGGCAACCCTCACCAACCGGCTACCACAACACCTACCAGCTGTACACCATGGAGAACACTCGGCAGACCATCCTCAACGATTACATCACGTCGCAGCAGATGCATGGCATCCCTCGGCCCGACATGGCCAGAGGGCTGTCGCCGCGGGAACAACCCGTCGCCATCCCGTACCCACCGCCTCCTCGAGGTAAGTCTCTCATCTGCCGCAGCAGGCAGGGGAGGCTGTAGTATGCAGACTGTGTGCTTGTGAAGTAGTGGCTACCTTTTGCAGACGCCCAGAAGCAAATGACCTTTTTCTTTCTTTTTTAAAACAAATTGACAAATTCAGCCGATTTGCTCTCTCTTAAATTGGGGCTGCGACTCATTTGGCTGTTAACTCAATTTATTTATCGGGTGTGGTCATCGAAATCTCACATTTGCTGAGTGGTTGCCTCTTACAAGTTGACCACTATTCCACTCCGCGCAGCCCTGTCGCTCTCTGATCAAGCGGGATTTGGGATGAAGGTGATGGGTTACAGCTAAGTGTCTACATACATTCAGAAATTGATGGATCGATTCTTGTTGTTCACCACTGGCCCTTTGCTTCTGTCTGTAAAAGGGATTATTGATCTAACCCAGATGCCTCCAACTATCCTGTTGCCTCACCCTGGGGGAACAGGTACTCCCACTTTGGAACGCGCCTACCTCTCTGGAGCTCAGCCCCCTTTCCCTCCTAGGCATTTCAACCCAGCCTCCATATCGCCAGGTGAGGACCCCTCCCAATCCTACACCCTGTTTTTCCCTTATCTCTGCTGCCACCAGCTCTGTGTCCCCCCTCACACTCTTGCGGCGAGTCTCGACCGCCCAGAGAGGTTTAGGATTACCGCAGGAACCGCTGGGATCGGTCTGATACGAAACTGTCAAGGTGTTCTGATTGAATGTTTAGGTTTTGATTGGAAGTTCTGGAGGAATTCAATATTTTCAATGTGGCTGAAACAATTAATCACGATTAATCGATTATGGAAATAATTGTCAACTAATTTAGTAATCAATTAATTGTTAACTGGAGTATACAGACTGAAAAGAAAGCAATTTGATTAAAAAAAAGCATATTCAGTGCAGTAATTAAGCCAAGAAAAATATATACATTTTTGCATTTAAGATAAAAACACCTTTGTCTGAAAATGTCATTCTGATTTACTAAAGGAATGCAATGGTGTCAGATTTTAGGCATCAAAATGTTTATTTTCTTATTAAAAAAAGACACTGGATTTTTTTTTATTTGTATCAGTTAATATATTTCTAAAACTGTATAAAAATGTTTATGTGGCTAAATAAAACATCTGTAGAGTGTGCCTTTTTAAATTAAATGAATCAATCGTCAGAATAATCGATACATTAATCAACTACTAAAATAATCGATAGTTTCCGCTCTAATTCCTCATGTTTCTGGATTATTTCTGTCCAAATCCTGCTTTCTCCCAAATGTGTAGATTCAGTGTAAAGCACCAAGATGATCTGACTTCACAGCTGCATTTTAGATTTCAAGTTTCTTCAGTTTATGATTACTAGCTTGTTTAACTTGCTTCTGTTTACAGAAAAACAAAACAGTCATAATCTTCTTGTGACAAAATTTAAACTACCTGAGCTTTCTAACACCAGCTACATACCAGCTGCATCCCGATGTGCACGGTCTGTTTTACTGAGCCGTTACCACCAAAGGTGCTTGTGTGTTTGTCTGTGTGCTGTGACTTGCAAAAGTATTCATACCTGGGAAAATGTTCCACATTCAGTTATGTCACAACCACAAACCTCATGTTTGTTATTGGTAGTTTATGTCTTGGACCAGCACAAAGTGTCTAACTGTGATCTGGAAGGAAAGTGATGCATGTTTCTTTGTGCAAATTGCATCTAAAATGTCATTTCTATTCACATTGTAGACCAACCTTTTACCGCATTGAAAGCGGCAAGTGTTTTGGGTCACAATCTAGGTCTGAACTTTGACTGGACCATTCTAGCACAAGACCAATCTTTGGTCTGAATCGTTGCTGTGTGTTTAGGGTCGTTCTCCACCTCAGTCTCACATCTTCTGCAGCCTCCAGCGGGTTTTCTTCCAGGGTGGCTCTGCTCTTAGCTCCACTCCATCTTCCTATCAGCTCTGACGAGCCTTCCTGTTACTACTGAAGAAAAACAAAGCACCACACAGCATGATGCTGCCTATAGAGGTCTGCACAGAACAGCTGCATTTAGGATTTGATTAAATTACACTCTGGTGGGCTTTGTTTATTGATTAGGTGTCTCCATTTTTTAGGGATATTAGAATAAATCAAAAATGATTATATACACAAACGCTACACCTTTTTCTAATTATTTTCCTTTCAGATGGCAGTGTTAATAAGTCACAGAAATTCCCAACATTTTGTGGTCATAGCTGAAAAATGGAAAAACAATAAAATAAAACTGGGCATTTTTAATAATACCTGACAATAAGGCAGACCTGGTTTTTAGTTTTATTTTATTTTTTTCCTTTTCTCGACATAATAATATTTAACCTTTCTAATTCAGCTCATAAGGCTGCAGATTTGACCACTCCTAGTGTATTAGGAGGTAATTGTTCATCCCGTTCCCCCAGTGCAGTGGACCAGTATTTAAACCATGACTTCAGTCTGATGCATCATAAAACAGTGATGCATCAGATGCCAGGGGTGTGATGATGTCATGCAGGTATGAAGTTTAACGTTTTGCGTGCATGTTGTTGTCCCTGTTCTACTCAGGCCATCCAGTCCACCTTGCTGCTAGTGCAGAGAGGGAGCGGGAGCAGGAGAAGGAACGGGAACAAAAGGAAAGGGAGATCAGAGAGCGGGAGCGCACTAATGAGTACATGCGTGGAGGTGAGTTACTTAGCAAGTGTCGGCTCAGTGAGTAGTTTCAGAAGCAACGCTGCAACGTTTGCCCCTTCTGCATCGTTCAGGCGCCCCGGAGCAGCCGGGCCGGCCAGGGAGCCGAGGTTATCTGCATTCCCCTTCTCCGTCGCTCCGGACCCAGGATGTGGTCGTTCAGCAGCGGCCGAGCATCTTCCAGGGAAAAAGTGTCATCACCTCACTAATGTAAGCTCATAAAATTCGTAAGACAGGGTTTGAATGGGTGCTTCCTTGAAATCCTTAAAAAATGCTTAGATTTCAGTCAGGTGCTTTGGAAAGTGTTTGGTTTCTGTTTGAAGTCCTTGAAAGTCCAACGTTTCATTAAAAGCCTAAATTTGGAAAATCTTCTTTACAGCTAAAACCAGATGTTTTTTTCAGAGTAAAATCAGACTAAACTTCTCTTGTTTTAGGTTAGTTAGATATTCCAAAATGATTTCCATTTTCTAAATGCCAGAAAACTTATTGGGAGCTTTTTTTTTTTTTTTTAGACATTTTCTTTGTATGATATTTTAAGCATTTAATTTGAGAAGGGATATGATTTATCTTGAGATTTATTTGGATCGTGTCAGTGTAATGAATATTTATTACTCCCTATTGGCTCAATGATTTATTGATCCTTGTAAAATAAAGGTTGACTTATTTTTCTGTATGTTAAGTAATTTTACTGAAATTGGGGGATTTTTTTAGTTAAATTAGTTCTCGAACCAGACAGGTGAATTCGGTCTATGAGGGAGACTTTTCAAAACATTAAGTTTAATTTTATTTTAATTGACCGAGAATGTAGAAAATTATCACAAGACATTATTGTTAACAGTAATAAATGATATTAATGATGTGATAATAATGAGGTGTAGGTTTCTCCAAAGTGCTGTGCTGGAAAAGTTTGAAAATTTTACCATAAATTTGCATTAAATATACCTAAAATACTTGACTTTTACTGTAGTATAAATCCTTCTGAATCCTTCTGAAAGAACTTACCAACTCCAAACATTAACACACATTAAAGGTATCAAATCATCAATAGTTTTGTTGTAATATTGTAAAAATAAAACTTCAAACATACCATTAATTTAAAGCTGCACGTTTTCTATTATCTTTTTATCTGCAACGATGTAAAATACCGTGAGAAGTGGTCAAGTTTCCGTTATGCCAGTCAAGCTGTACTCCCAGCAAACCCCCCCCCCCCCCCCCCACAAAACCCCATTTTTTT